ATGATAGAAGAGTGATAAGCGAAGAGCATCGACGGTGCGGCTACCAAATGTAGTCACCGCGAACAGAGTGTTGTTGTCATTGTTGTATGCCCAAGCATGTATGTATGAAAGTGTAGATACCTATTTGACTACATAGATATACCCAGAAGTTGAGAGTGCATTTACGTATGTAGCTAGGTGCGGTTGTGTGTACATATGTATGTATATCAGCGGCAGCGGTTATTATGTTTTGCGGCCAGCTGATAAAGAAAATTACAGTGGTGGCTCAGTAAGTCGTACAGTTTGAGGATTATGTGCTCCAACATCCTCCCCCCCTTGAAAGCAGCGCTTTCAATAAGCTGTGAATTAGAATAAATACGCAAATTTTATTGTTTAACTTCGACGGGCAGTTTACTCAGCCTAGTTATCGCCCGTTTCTGAACTCCACTTGTTGTCTTAACGACTGCAACTCGTACGGCACCATCATTGCCTGGAATTGTCTCCACGACTCGTCCCAATGGCCATCTTAACGGCCGTACATTGTCTTCCTTGATCAACACCAGATCGTTGTGTTGAATGTTATTGCGTGGTGTACTCCACTTCACCCGTTGCTGAAGCTCCTTGATCTATTCCGCTTGCCATCGTTCCCAAAAATTTTGTTGAATTGCCTGTACAATTTGAAACCGTTTAAGTAGACAATTTATTTGATATGATATGATATTTTTGGTTCGGTGATTGCAGTCAGGGGCCTGCCTACTAAAAAATGGGCTGGGGTCAACGCACGAAGATCGGGGTTGGTTGATAGCGGAGTTAGAGGTCGGCTATTTATTATAGCTTGTGCTTGACAGCAAACTGTATGCAACTCGTCGAAGTTGAGTAGATGTGAACCGACTGCTCTGCGGAGGTAATATTTGGCGCGTTTAACGGCACTTTCCCATAGACCGCCGAAATGGGGGGACCTGGGTGGGATAAATTTCCACTCTATACCTTCTTCCGCAAGTTTCTCCTGAATTGCTGTAATGTGTTGCTCTGAGATGAATGCTGACAACATTTCGCGTAGTTCGCGATTTGCGCCAACGAAGTTTGTTGCATTGTCAGAGAAAACTGTTTTGCACCTTCCTCGTCTCACGATGAAGCGTTTGAGCGCGGTAATGAATGACATCGTAGTAAGATCTGGAACCAGTTCAAGATGCACCGCGTTGGTTGTGAAGCAGATGAATAAACTTATGTACACCTTCAATGGTCCCCTGTTTCGAATTCGTTGCATAATTGAGAATGGGCCACAGTAGTCAACGCCCGAGATTTCGAACGGAAATGTTGGTTGCACACGCTCTTGAGGAAGGGCGCCCATTAGCTGGTACTCTAGCTGTGGCTTGTTACGGAAGCACAGCACGCATCGATGCACCACTTGCCTTATTAGACTCCTTGCGTTTACGATCCAAAATCTGTCACGAATAATACTTAACAATGTTTGGCAGGCAGCATGTAAGTGGCGACGATGGAGTGTGTCAACAAGCGTGCGAACAAACGGATGTGTCTTCGGCAAGAGAATAGGGTGTTTTGCTTCAAACGGCAATGACGAGTTGTTAAGTCTCCCACCGACTCTTATGACTCTATTGTGAAGAAATGGAGAAAGTTGATTAAAATGTGAAAGACGACTTACACCACCGCTTTCCAATTCCTTATATTCCTTTGCAAAGGCTGTTCTCTGAATATTTTCGCATATCAACAAAAGAAACGAATCTAACTCGCTGGCGGTAATGGGACCAGCTTCAAACGGTATATGACGCAATGACGAAATAAAACGATTGATATACGCAAAAATACGTAAAAGTTTATTATAGCTGTTTACATATTTGTGCTCGGCAATGATGTCCGGTTGAGGTGATATCGTCAGATATATATCGTGCTTTCGTTGCTCTGGAATCACATCGTGGATGTGCACTGAATTGTTAGGCCACTGTCTGCTGTCTCTGACTAGGAATTCAGGACCGTGGAACCAAAGGCTGTTGGCGGCAATGTCCTTTACAGTTACTCCTCGTGACACCAAGTCAGTAGGATTTTCTACCGACGGAACGTGATGCCAACTGAAGTCACCAGTTAATTGCTGAATTTTCGCTACTCTGTTTGATACGAAGGTGGTCCAGTGATACGCTTCGCGCTGTATCCATGATAGGGTGATGGTCGAATCGGACCAACAATGCACGTTACTTGGGGTTACCTTGTACGCAAATATTGAAATGACTGAATGTAGTAACTCTGCGAGCAAGGTGGCTGCACACAATTCCAACCTTGGCAAAGTGATTTCTTTTGTAGGCGCTACTCGCGATTTTGCGCACAGAAGTGTTGCGCATGGGCCACTGATTGATTGATTCACGGCATATGTGCAAGCATCGTAGGCCTTGCTGCTTGCATCTGCGAACGCGTGAATGACAGTGTCTGCATCGTAGACGAAAAACCTTGGCGTCTGAATGCCATCGATGAACGATAACTGATGGCACATACCCTTCCATTCAAGACGCAGCTTCCACTGCTGCTGCATAAGTATTTTGCATTTTACCATGACGGGATTGAGCAAGCCAAGCGGATCGAAAAAGCTGGCCACCTGTGATAGTATTGTTCTCTTGGTAACCTTTGGTGATTGATGACCAGGCGGTGTGTATGAGAACATGAAGCAGTCCGTCCTTGGAGACCATTTGAGACCTAGAGCCTTGACATAAGCTTTGTCGTCAACATTTACAATTTGCTCCCGATCTTCTGCTGCTACGTCGACTATGATGTCATCTGAGTTGGATGCGAACTTTCGAAGGGGAAATCCC